CAGATCCCATACTCGCATTGATCCATGGGAAATATCAATTGCACTGGTGTATTTAATTAGTTTATATCTTTGCCCTTTGTGTCACTGGGGTTGATAGAGCGCCATGCTCTGCAAATTAATCTTCATCAGCAAAAGACTTGAAACAAAAGCATGATTGGAATAAAGAAACTGAGAAGCTAAATCTCCCTACTTAGTATTCCAACCCTACACCTTCACAAATTATGTTGTTATACATAGTTATGGTACAGTAGCTGAGAGTACAGAGTAGATAGAGCTGACCTTAACCTTTAGTTTGTGGAATCTCATCATTCATAGAGATTGCCTATAATTAATACTGTTGATAAATAAACTACAGCACAGTGGAACTCACTAATTTAAGACTGTTACCAGAGGAAATGGTTTTTACTATAACCTCACTTTTTTTTATCTGGAATAACTTGTTTAGCAGTGTTTTACAACTCCATGTGTGGTGGACATTGATGTGTAAAGTACAATTTTACTCGCTATATATGCAGATGAATAACATAGTTATCATGGGGGACTGTTATATATTTAAGCATTTTAAGTCTCTGTGATAATAGAATTATTAAATTTTTTAAGCCTAATTCTTTGAATATGGGCTCACTAATCCGTTGGTTCCCAACCTTTTTTATCTCAAGTACACCTTCACAGACTTTAAATGAAATGTTTTTCACACGGTTAATTATGAAATGTGGATTTTTTTTCCTACATTTAAGAAGGAAGGTTCTCTCTTCAGAAGGTTTGGGCAAGTTTTCATGAGTACTGCTACCACATGGACTTACAGAAGCTGGACGTTTCAGCTGTTTGATACAGCATGTTTAGCTATTACTCAGATTAGTAGGAGATGTGTCAGATGCAGTTGACTTATCATATCTGGTTTACTGGTTATTCTGACAGTAAATATACTGTGCTATAGATTGGCTGCATCCAAGCAACAACTGCAGATCCAGGATTAATATAATGTCCCAATTTTATTAGACACTGGAAATAGAAGTTAATGGATGTAACTTCAGCTCCAACAGTATTGGCCCTGTAATGGACTTGAACCATATTGGTTTGTCCTGAGACAATTTGTGCACTTACTGCCCAATCATGTGGCAGTTTGACCTGTGAAAACCCACCACTTTCCTCCATTTGAATTTTGTGAACCAAGGAAAATGGCTAGCTGAGCATGTAATTAGAGGACTATGCACATAATAAACTAACTATGACATTCAGGCAAGTTTAATTTAATATTTGCATCAGCATGCATGTCTTTTCAGTTAGGCTATTTATTGCAGTCTCAAACCGCCCAGGTAAGTTTATGGTCAAGCCAAGCCGATGGTGTGTGAACGTTTTATCTTAAAATGACAGTTAGATTTCTGACTCCTGGATTTTTTTCTGGATCACAGTTATTCGCTCCAGGTGTATGCAGTACAGTCGTTTAGCATGATAAGGCTGTCTGCATATAGAAGATTTCATTTCCTAGTCTACAGTGAGGACCCAGACTACATCATTGCCTTATGCATTATGGCATTAGTTAATTTATTATCAGTTGAATGTATTAATCAATGAAATTGGGATATTTTTCTGACCATGTTTTTGGGAGCAGTGAAGAATATATTATTTGTATGTCCCAGAATGAGTTCAGTTTAGTTTAGTTTAGATTTTACTTTCTTTTCCTACAGTGGATTAACAATTATACTGATTCATTTTATACTATGTTTTATGTATTAGACCTGTGTGTGTGAGATAGAGAGAGAG